CCTGAAAGAGACTTGAGATAAACAAAGCAAAAGACAGACATAGCTACAACAAGGAGGGACTCAAAAACAAAAGGACTCTCATAAGGATGCATGGATTGACACAAAGAGGGGTTAAGACATTCAAAGAGATTTCATACAAAACAAAGACTCTTAGAACAAGTACAATAGCTAGAACAACTACAATGGCTCAAATTAACCAGACAATGAAAAAGGGGCAGAAACTGCCAAAACCTCTATGGACAATGGACACCAAACTGCTGCTCCTTGTGTCTCCTGGTTTTCTTGCTTGTGGAAGGTTGTGTGTACCCCATTTTCGTTCCCTTAAATCCTAATGTCCCTAGTTTTTATAGCCTGATAGGTATATATCTCAAAGTTTGTTCTGTTTATTCTTAAGAGCTTCTCTGCTGGCGCTGGAGAAACATTAAGAAAGTTAATGGCCTCGGGCTAATTTCCTGGTTGTAAACAGACCTCCTTAATCAGGCTCTGTTTGCTATTACACTAAACACACACAAACATGCTGAAAACAGAGCGACTGACCTCATTGGCTTATCACTTACTGCAGATCATGATGAGGTTGCTGTTCTACGGATACTTTTATGCAACAGCTCGTATCTGTGCTCGGTTGTTTTAAGTGTTTACAACAGTCAGTTCATCATCGTGGGTACAGAACTGTTTTCTTTTTCTCTCTACAGGGAGGGTCACTTTTCTCTGGTGTTCATTTTGATTAGAGTTTGGACACAGGTCAATCTGGTTACAAACTGGGTAATGTGTGTTTTTAAGAGAGATAAAACAAATCTATTAATTCAATTCAAGCACTGAATATGCTAGACCCTCAAAACACAGTTTTCCCTTCTTTGCTTTCTTTGTTTTCTAGTCTTTGAATACTTCATCATCCCTCACTTTAATATATTCTCTAAGCCCTGGTTTCAGCTCTATTGAAGCCATGTCATTTTAAAAACCTAAAGACACATGTTTACTTAAGGCCGCATATTTTTTCACCTGAAATATTCTTTTTTGATTTCATACAAATGTATTTTTTATGCTGCTTTAAAGCTTGGACATAATATTTGTCCAAATGATTAATCATTCAGTCGACTAAATGCACACATCCTTAGCACCAGACGAGTAGTGATGGACGCGATAAGACTACTACTGCTACATGTTAGAATTAATGTCTCATACTGTACATAATATGATTATCTTGCAAAGTATAGATTATTGCGGAATTGCTATGATAATGTTGTTTTAATGGCCACGTAATAGGGATGTAAAGATTATTTTATAATCGTGATAAATCGATTCAAAGGTGTCAAGATTCACATCGGTACTCTGTAAAATCAATCTTGACTTCCCCAAGACAAAAAATGAAAGAGGTGAGAAGATAACAGAAAAGACAAAACCTGTGTGCAAAATACAAATATTGCAAGAAGACAGGGAACTACAAAAATAGAACAACCAACGTGATGCAGCATTTATTCGACACCACAATGAGAAGCTCCAATCACCTCCCCTTGTTGCGTGGAAAAAAACCATTAAAAGGCCAAACCACACTGACAAGTGGGTTGTAATACACAATTTTGTTTTTCAAGTGAAGAAGTAAAATGATTTATTTGGTACGTTTTACCGCAATATAATTATTGGTTATAAATCTCCATAAAGCTTCCAGACAAATACAGTGAATAGTAGTAGTTTTATGATCTTCAGATGAAGAAAACTCGAGTCAAAGCAGTTTTTTGGAGTAGCCTGAGTTATGGTAGGATACCTTTCTTTAAACTAATGAAACACTAAAGGGATTCTCAGCATTTTGACACCAACACATTACCGATGCACACACTCACTCAGAGGAAAAGCTTCTTTCTTTAGCTGCAAACGAGCAGTCAGTTCTGAGAATAGAGCTCTGTTCGTCTGAGAAACCAGAGATCACTAATCAGACAAGACACTCATTCATGTGTGTGACCTTTGACCTTTTAATCCAGTCACAGGTGACTGTGACAATCGGGTACTGTTACACATCTTTGTTTGCCTGAAATAGCTTTAATTCCACTGTTAGGTGTGCGTGTCTTTGTGTGTGACTAAAACCTGACTTCATCTGTCATCATTACCGTTTATCTACTTGTTATTTATATGACTTTTCATTTTAAGATGTATGAAGTGTCGGTTGTGAATAAACCCTTATCACAGTTTCTAAGAGCCCAAAGTGAAAAATGCAATCACACATTTTGTCCTAAAACACAGAATCTACTGTATATCAACTGTCAGGTGTCTGTTTTGTGTTATTCTTTAGCGGTTTAATGTGCTGAGAGGTATAGACAAATAGACAAAGAGACTATAAACTGTCAACTGAAACACAATGACCTTTCATTTTGAAGTAAAACGTCAAACAAAAATGTCTTATAACACAGGAAGAATATTATACACAGATAACAAGAACTTCTAGAAACCTTGTTGGTTAAATCAAGCGCTCTTTAGGTCTCACTAGAGAACGTTTTTATCTGTTGTGTTAGTCAGCATTTAAATGAAATCTGGAAAGTTCAGTGTTGGTCCAAAACACCCCCCAAACATTTAACAGTCCACACAATTTAACATTCATCACTGAAGCTTTATTAATCATCACTGTAGTGAGTTAAATGTCATTTCTTTCCAAGAAGAAGAAACCGTTTAGTAAATTAACTTGAGTGCTTACAGTGCATTAAAAGGGGAACTGTTTGTTTTAGGTATTTTATTATAGTGAAACTCTGTCCTACAGCAGGCAGTTACAATTGTGTTTACTCTATCTTCATTCATATTAATATAACTATGTTTGTATTATATCATGAGGAACATATAGACACAGATACATTAAAACAATGATGCAGACAAAACATGGTGTGTTTTCAGAGCCTAGGCATCCTTGTTTAAACACTTTTTTTTTGACAAGCACATCTGGAAGGTATTTATAGCTACAGCGCTGACGTCACCTTGGCAACCAGTGCCGAGGGGTGTGTCGTCTGCCTGTACGGGAATCGTCAACATGGACTGAGAGCACAAACACACGCAAAGAAATACTTTTCCCTCCTTCAATTCTTACAAATAGAAAACATTAAGAAAATAACTTAAAATAGATTTGGTCCTCGGATGGTCCCATTTCTACGTTGATGTGCTCATGAGTTTTAAGTTGTGGAAATTCGGTACATGGATGTTACAAAGAAAATGTATCTTATGGTTAATGTAAATTTTTGGGTTTGTTGGTGGTCTTTTAATTGCTCTTTTTTTATAGCTTTATATCCAAAGATGTAAAAACATGGGGATTGAGCCTCTTTACCTCGCCCCCATTGGTCCTAAAATACATGTGGCTAAATCTGAGCACATACACTGATACCTTATCAGTTTGCCAGTCAATGTTCCCAAAATAATATTAAGACGTTTCAATGAGAATTTAAACATTATAATATTATTCATAAACTGACTACAATCTCGTTTTATTGAAATAAGAAAATCGGGAAACAAAAAAACATGATGACATATCGTCTTGTGAATGTGTGTTATGAAACATATTGTGTCATGAAGTCCAGATACATCCTGAGTTTCATCACAATGAATACCATGAATGAATTGTCTTACAGTAAATAGAGAAAGTAGCTGTTTAGATAAAGCTGTTTTATGTTGTTAGTTTTTTGTTTTTGTTTTTTACAGCAGGCTGTAACAAGTTTTTTTCTGCTATAAAGTTCAATATTTTCATATTTGGCCTTATGGGGATTGACTCACTTTTTAGAACCAGCATCAAGTAGACACTTTAGGAAGTGCAGTTTTTGCACTTCCACATTGTATTCATGTCTCAGTCTCACAGGTTTCTGTTTGGTCTTGATCCCTGTCAGCCACATTCAAGGTGTTACATGCAGTGTATATATCCGCTTGCATGATCTTATGTGAATACAGCGGTTAGATTGGGTCCACTGTTTAAAGACGGATGGTGCAGGACATGCTTCAGGAGCCACAGATGACTCCTGATGATTAATTGGCTTTGTGGTTCAGCCGCTGCATACCAACAGCCACTTCTCAGTCCCATCATCACTCAGCTGAGACAGACAACAGGGGCTGTGCTGGACTCTTGATTTGAAACTCTTTACTGTCAGAAGGAGCAGATAGCTGAATGAGTGGAAGTCTTCCTGAGAGGGGAGCCTCCCTCTGACTCACTCGGCCCTACATGGGAAAAACATTAAGTGGCTGATGCAAACCTGAAGCAAAGAGAAAAGGGGCAGTGAAAGCACAACTATCAACTACAAATAGAAAGAAATACTCATGTAGTCGAGCAAAAGTATAGAAACACAAAGCTTAAAACAGAACAACTTTTCTTCTTTTATCAGCAGTTTTCATAACGTGGTGGTTTCCTGATGAGCCTTTGACATCACACATTTGTAGGCTTTAGATAGCTTGTATGATAACTTTGTTTGCAAGTTTAAGTGCTTCTTAAAAAGTAAAAGCCCAAATCATAAACATTTAAACAGATAGAGACAAAAAAATAAGAACAGAGAAAACTATACAAGCATTTAGCCTTTTTTGTACAAGTAAGTAAATGATATGTGAAAGATAGGAATTGCATTATCAATTCAGTGATCCCAAATTCTAAAGCAACATTAGATGAGAAAGCCTTTTCAAGATTGTGTTTTTAAAGGAATTCCTAAAGATTGCTCTGATTTTCAGTTTCAGAGAGTTTACTTTCTCTTCATTCCAGTCTCACATTAAATGTTTGTTTTTAAAAAAAAAACAGCTGTACAGTGCCGCTACAACCCGCTTACACCTTAAAAAGCCTGGGCATGGCTGGAGAATGATTACCTCATAGAGCACATTATGGAAAATGTCCTGATGTCAGCTGGCGGGTTCTCAGTCATTCACACTTTAACAGCAGAGAGGTTTAAATTCCCAGTTTCTAAGAGAAAGTGTATGTTCAGTATACGAGTGTGTGTTTACTTTCTGGATAGGAAAGTAGAAAATGATTTGAGTCAGATTTATCCTTTTACTTAACATTTGTTTGTCTTCTTCCACAGATGTTTATGATGGATAGATAGAGACGAAGAGGAGGAGAAGATGTCGTTCTTCGGCGTGGACTGTGTGAGGAAAAAAGAGAGAGGTAGGACTTTTATTTGATGGATGTTCAGAACATAAAATATAAAAATCAATAGTTTTATTCTTGACCTTTTAAACAGCTGTAAACAGAAATATTTGAACTAGTAACAATTGTAGAGCTTTCTATGAGGTATCATGAACCTCTTAGAAGGTTTAGTTGTCCAGATGTCATTGCAGTTCTTAAATATCATAATACTAAAGCTGTTGGATGAAGATTTTAGTTATTACATTTATATAATGTTTTGAGTGTGGTGAAATAATTTTACATTTCCAATAACATCTCAGCGAGGGCTGTGCAGTTAATCCTATAACTTCATTGTTATCCTGATATGAGGATTCACAATAAGCACATCAAAGTCTGAATTTATCACAACAACATATTGTTATTGTTTATGTTAAGCAGATGTAATGTTTACATGACTCACCAGATGTATTGCTTTATTTATCCTACTTTTCAAAGGTTGATTGCCAACCATTATAAACACAAATGTGTACATTTCTTTCTATTTAAGGTGAATATTGTGCAATGAAATCATAACCTTTAATTAATACCTGAAAAAAGTGTGTTACAAATGGTAAGTGTGTTACAAATGGTAAGACTTCCCAGTGGTCAGATTAAGCCCTGATTAAGTGTGTTAGTTATGGGTTTGGTTTCTGTTATATGCTAGATGTACTTTTGAAGATATGTGCGATAATGATTATTATTTCTGTGTGTTTGCACATCAGAGCTGGAGAGGAAGCTGCGCGCAAACGACCGCGAGTACAACTTCTCCTTTCAATATGCAGTAAGTACTGCTGTCTACTTGAGAACTGTCTTCTAAAATAAACACAGGATGTACAGCTAATGAGGCCAACATACACCACAAACAGTTTACAACGTTATGCGGTCATTGCAAACGTTTACTAGATAATTTCTTCTATGGGCTTTGTCTGGCTGCTGGACTGTGTTGGATGTTTTCTGGAAACAAGATGTGAGCCAAAGTCAAAGATCATTTAATTAGAAAGGGAAATGGAAAGAGGAGACAATTAGAAATAGAGAACTGTTTTGCTCTAACACTTAATAATCATCATAATCATCACAGAAGTAGAGAAGGAAATTAGCCTTGAAAAAAAAAAAAATGTTTTTCAGTTTTATGAGAGTAAAAGAAAGATTGCTTACTCTCTTGAAAGATTGGTTCATCCGTACCAAAATATATCTTTACCAGAAAGTCTTTTAGGTTACACATACAGGTATGTAACCTCAAACACATACTGTGCTGTAGAAACAAATTATTATTATTAATAATTATTATAATTATTATTATAACTTTACAAGAATTCAAACACCGAATGTGAAACTGTAAAACCCTTAAACAGAAAGTATTTAGTTTAAAATATCAATGACAAATGAAAGGACTGAACTTTGTTTTAGGTCATGATCATCCCATCGAGTGTAAAATAACAAAATTAATGTAAACTCTAACTTTTTCTGATTTTGTACATCCAGAACAACACATCCAGCGTGTGGGCGGTTTTGTTCGTAAATAGATGCAGAGAGATAAAGTCAGTGAATCAGAGTCGGAGATTTCAGCGTACTGATAAGAGCCACTTGGTCAGGACTACAGGCCTCCCACTAGATCTTACAGTCATGATGACTAACATCTGGCTCAGGAATTCTGCACAACCCAATGAAGTGTTTGGTACAGAGTAACAGAGATATACAAATAAAAAACATCCAACATGTGGGGAAAAGTTTCATTAAGGACATACACTTAGTATATATTAATCATTTTGAGCAACCAGGCTGTTTGTTCTGCCCGCTGACAGAGTGTCCTGTAATTAAAGCCTCTGTCTCATCTCCTCTTCCACCTTAATCTTCCATCTATCTGCATGTTAACGCTCACGTTCTGAAATTGAATGTATGCCTTTGGATATTCAAAGGACATCAAACATAAGGCTGTATCTGTTCAAGCCATGAATGTTATCCCATCATCTGTCCCATCATGTCTGATGCACAAAGCCAAGTTTCCGTAAAACATTACATGAAACATTAATAATATTAACCCAGTCCACAGAATAACACAAGCTGCACATATTTACCACAACATGCCCAACTACCCGACTGTTTTCCTTCAGGTTGTGTCTGTTTTGCATCCAGTTCACATCCAGCAACATCGATGTTAATGTATCACTGGTTTGTTTGTTTTTTCATGCTATGAGAAATTGTTTTTGTGAAAGTTGTAAAAGATATATAGTGCTTTCGAGTCATACATACATTTTTACTCATAACATTTTATTCATGACATTATTCTGAATGATACTGATTTTTCTGTGACACCTATATAGTGAAACAGCATACATAAATTAATCTGTAAACTGATGGCATATAGGCAAGTACTCTTTTTTAAATATTTTTAAATATTCTTTTAAATTTTATTTAATATGTGGGATAATGAAAAGCCAAATTCATTAGTAACATTACTTAATTGAGCACTGATCTGCTTCTAAATCTATTTTTGCTAAATCTTTCTTAAACTATCCAGTTGACCCAGTGTAGATTGTGTCATTACTCATAATTTTCCAGCTAGCTGTTAGCCCAGTTAGAAAATGTTAGGAATGCTTATTGTAGGTGTAAATTATCTTAATTTGTTTTCTGCTTAAAATCAACAAACTCTCTGATAATTGCTTAAGCCAGTTGTCCTTTGCAATAAGTAACGCAAATGTTCTCATACCAGAGAAGATGCCCTGTCAGCCCTTTTAACTCAGTGCAGATGATGGCAGAGGATTTGTAAGTAAGAGGGAAACCATCATGCCTGCACATCTGTATTATGATAAGAATACAAGTTATACAATATTCATGTAACAATACTCTACAATGCACTGTTTTAATTACACAATGGGCAAGACACTTAACCCCCGCATTGCTCCTGTTGCTTCGGTGGTGGTGTATGAATGGATTAGTGTTGTACTTACTCTCTGATGTACGTCGCTTTGGATAAAAGCGTCTGCTAAGTGAATTGTAACATTGTAAAATGTACTTTGTACAGATTTGCTGCCCCTGCCCTGAAAAAAGTTATGATTCTGTATCAGTTATGTGTCTTTAGTTTTAACCATAGACATCAGTAAGTACTTTCAACCTCTGTTTTTTGGGGGGTCAAATTCTACATTTCAGTATTGCTCCTTTATTGGTTTAACACTGTTTTTCTGTCTGCCCCCTTACACCTTTTCAGACAAACGCAATCAAGACCAACAAGTACAACTTCTTCACCTTCCTACCTCTTAACCTGTTTGAGCAGTTCCAAAGGATTGCGAATGCCTACTTCCTGTTTTTGCTGGTGCTCCAGGTGAGGGAGAAAAATGTGTACACACACACGCACACACACACACACACACACACACACACACACACACACACACACACACACACACACACACACACACACACACACACACACACACACACACATGAAGGCACACGCAGGCACAGGTAGGCAAGGCTACCTTCAGACTGTCAAACAGAAGTTATGAAATATTTAATACAATTCTAAAAAGAAAAAAACAACAAATTAGATGAATTAATTTGTGAATGATGTACACATTGGCAACAAAAGATTATTAAAGAATATGAACCTTGAACACGATTTTGACTCTGAGGGGAACATTTGGGAAGTGGTTTGGTATTAGAGCTGCTCGGTCATTGCAAAAAAATCATCACAATTATTATTTGATTGATTTTAAGCTCACAGTGATTTAACACGTTTACTCACTGATTTGACAACGTCTGCATCACATGCCTTTATCAAACTCAAACACTCTGAACACTTTTAACACTCTGAACACTTTTAACACTCTGAACACTTTAACAACAAACACTTACATTTACCACACGAGACAAAACCAATGGATAACACTGCATGTGGCACAGTAATCATTCTCCATTATCTTGTTTATATGATTGAGTCAAAATTGTAATTGAAGAGGGCAAAGTGCTGCAAAGGGGACTGCAGCCTCTGTGCATGGGCATTACCAGCTAGGCTATCCGGCTATCCATCTTGCTTTGCTGTCAATGACTATAACAAATGTATGTAAGTTAATGAACATAAGGTCATAACTGTTTTTTTTTAACCGTTATTGTATGTGGCAACTGTGATCTTAAATGTGATCTTTAATATATTTGTCTTTTATGTCCTTGTAAAGCACTATGTGACTGTTGTCTGTGAAAAGCACTGAAAAGTAACCACAGTGTTTTCACACTTTTCGAAACATGCAAACCAACACAACACATTGAGTGTCTGCATTCTCTCACAATGTGTGCCTTCAAAACAGGACGTGAATCAATCAAGTGCAATGAGATTAAGGAAGTGCCATTTAACAGGAAATTGCGTCAGAAACCAGTCTTATTGCACCACAGAGGTCGTCTGCTGACAGGCCTGAAGGAACTTGATGTTTTTAAATGAATTTTATTCAACAAGTTCATGTATGCCTATGCTATTAATCAATTAAAACATGTTATAGCTATGAACACATTTAATCTTAATTTTAAATTACTTGGATTTACCGTAACTTTTATACATTTTAGATTACTGGTACTGAAGATTTAGACATTTTAAAATTCTTGTTTCCCTTTTTAAAATTCCAAATTACATAAAATGTTCCGCATTGGGACAAAAGTGTCTTTATTTTTCTACTGCTCTGCATCCAATATTTTGATGTATTTTTTTTTCCTATTTCATTTTCTATGGCTCGCTATGAAAATATAACAATAACTTAAACTTAATGTATGTGTGTGTTTTTTTTCCTCAGGTGATTCCTCAGATCTCCTCCCTGTCCTGGTTTACCACTGTTGTTCCTCTGGTCCTCGTGCTGACAGTCACTGCTGCCAAGGATGCCACTGACGATATCGTAAGCACATTTCCAGAACTCGTCTGGCAAATAATTATCTGTATTGATCCCAAAAGAAATTAAAAGACAATATATATATACGCAAAGGTGTCTTCGGCTTTTAGAAAATATTTAGAGTTCTATGATGTGAATCTGGATATAGGCCTGTTACAAAACGTTAATCATACACACATTGCATTGTACTTGAGTTAAATTTCAACGTTCCCTTTTGGGTCACTTATAGTACAACATTAATAAAAATTAATCATTGAATGGCAAAAACTATTTTAAAAAATCAGGTTTGTCCTGTACCCTCTCCAATATCTTCTTGTTTTTTCCCACTTGGAAGAAACCGGTACATTTCATCAAACGCTCAGACTTGATCCAAAATAAATCCAGTGAGAGTTGATGCTCAAAGTTGCTAATAGTTTTATTGCAAATCAAAGTGAACCAAAAAGTATATGTAGTGGCTTGAATGACCTAAAAAACATGCAATGCCTATCTTTAAACATGACTGCTAAGCTTGCTGTCAATGAAGGTATGCGCGGTGACCCGGCTTCCTCCCGGGAGGGCGCACACAAAAAATTGAATTACAAATGAAATGCAAAGAGAAGAGAAGCCTTTTACCTGGAAAAGGGTTAATTTTGGTTGTTTGGTAAAGGTTGTATATTTTTTGTAGCAGTTTATAGCTTTACATTCTCAAGTCCGTTTACATACTCAACATTTTTCCTCTTTAGTTCATGTAAACACTAGTAGACAGGCAGATTAGATACATTATCAAACTATCCCAATGAAGTCAATATAAATTATTTTACAGACATTCACAGATTCTGTGTTTTTCCCCAAAAACATTTTATTCATTAATTTCATTATTGGTGTAAAGATATTTTCACTGAGTTTAACAACCTTCATCCACAAATATCTGTGAATAAGATCACTCCTCTAATCAGTATTACAAAAACAAGTAAGATAATATATATATGAGCTAAAGAGGTAGTCACTCTTATTATATCTCAAGTGTACTAATGGTAATGGTGTAAAAACAATATTTTGTTCAAACTCTTGAAAAAAAAAAGAAAAGCAGACTCAGCACTTTGTGGTCATTTGTGTTATCTCATGCTCGGTGGGAAAAACATCAGCCGTCTCCTGTTCAAAACACTTCACACTGCACTTAGCCCTATGTTATCTCATTTCCACCGTCAAACAAAAACACATATTATTTTGTTAGCAGAAGCTGTTTTCAGGCTTCTCTGTGTCAGATTAAACGCAAAATAACATAATTCAGTCCGTTTTAAGCTTGGTTTATTTCAGACTTGGCTAATAGATCAAATTTGAATATCAACATACAACTGTCCTTCACATTCAACTTGCAACTTGTGAGGAACTTGTGGTT